AAAGGAAAAAAATTTATAGGAAACTAAGAAAGGGTAGTTTACAAAGCCACACAAATCAGGTTTTACTGAGATTTTTGTCAGTACCTCTCCAAAGTCAAGAAAATAGTGGAATAAAGTTTTCACAATCCTACAAGGTGAGAAAACAAGTAAAACATCATCATTTGCAGACAAAAAGTCTTTTAAGTATTTATACAAATAATGAGTAAGAAGAAATTATTTCCATTCAAAATCATATTCAAAAGAATTAAATAAGAATCTAGCTATGGAATAAAGAACTTACACAATGAAAATAGATGTTATTAAAGAATATATACCATAAGAAGATAAAAAGACTCCCAGTACATGGAGTATAGTCAAAATGACTTCTCCACCAAAAGCAATCTATAAATTTAATGCAATCCTCATAAAATATCAACAATGTTCTTCAAAGAAATTGAAAAAAAAAACATTAAAATTTGTAAGATAAAAGGTCTGGAAAGCAATCATGAGAAAAAGCAAAGTGGTACTATGATACCTAACTTTATAGCATAAAGTAACAGTAATTAAAACAATATAGTATCAGAATAAAAATAGGCACATGAATCAATGGAATAGAATCAAAAGTTCAGAATAAATCCATGCATATATCAATAATTCATGATAAAGGAGCCATGATCACACAATGCAGAAAGGACAATCTCTTTAGAAAATAGTGCTTGAAAACCTGGATGTCCATATGTTAAAAAAAAAAAAAAGTTGCATCATTCTCTCCATTCCATTATATAAAAATAAATTTATAATGAACTAAAGACTTAGATATAAAACATGTAACAAAATATACAGAAGAAAAACACTGGCAATATATTTTATGACACCAATGAAAAAAAGATGTTTGGGAGACCTGACCCTTATGGCAAAGAGGAAAAACAAAGAGACATAATTGGGATTATTTCAAATTTAAAAACTTTTATGCAGCAAAAAAAAAAATAGGTTAAAAAGACACCCTACTAAATATTCAGACATGCCACAACTGACAAGTGGTGAATATCCAAGATAAACAATTAAAAAAATATAACCAATAAGTGAACAACAGATTTGTCCATTCCTTCATCAATTGGGGGATTCACAAAGAAATTATCCACAAGGTGAGGACAGACATGGAGAAATGGTCATTGCTTTTAATAAGGAAGATGCAGGTCAAAACTACAATGAGATATGAGCTCACATTGTGAGAATGACACAGACTTAAAACCCCAAAAAACAAGTGCTGGAAAGGATGTGAAGAAAAGAGGTAAACTATAGCGATGGGAATACCAACTGGTGCAGCCATTCTGAAGAGCAATTTGGATTTACTTATAAAAAATAAAATTGGAAGTACCATATGCCCCAGGAATCCCATTCTTGGGTATTGATCTGAAGATCATAAAACCATCAACTCAAAAACATACATTCTACAATGTTTACTGCAGCAATCCTTATAGTAATGGATATGTAGAAACAACCTAAGTGCACAAGGATAGATAAGTGAATTAAGAGAATGTGGAACATCCACATAATGAGATGTTCTTCAGTCTTAATAAAAGACAAAAGGTTGTCAAGTAAAACAAAACAGAAGGAACTGGATGGATTCATCTGCAGTGAAGAAAGTCGAAATACCAAGGGTAATTAGGGAACATTTACCTAGGAGAGAGTTTAACAAAGCAAAATACTTATAAAAACTAGGACACTAATAAAGGAACTGAGGGTTCTCCGATTAAGAGGAAGGGAAAAAGGACAAAAGGGGAGTAAGAGATCATAACGGGTAGAAATTAAAAAAAAATTTTGGAAAATGAAAGAATTCTAACCTAAAAAAGTTTACAGAATTACAGCGTATGTAGTGTCATCATATACATCATAAATATTATCATACATATGTAAATGTAATATAACACAACAGCTGAAGGAAAGGAAATCTCACTGTATGCTACAGTTCACTTTGCATTGAGGAAACAAAATAATTGATGACTATCCATTTTTTCTGTCAATCAGACATAACTTTTATAGCAACAAAAATGAACAGATGACTGTTACAATGTCTTTGCACAAAATAGGAAGTCACTTGAAAGTTGCTCTTCCCCCCAAAGTTTACAATACACTCATTTTGAATTTACTAATCCTACTTTGTCATATTTTATGTCAGAACCTAAAAGCTAGTGCTATTAAGTATATACTAGACAGTTGTATTTTTTTTTTTAATAGTAAAGAAATTACTTCACACAAGAAAAAGAACTCACCTTACATATAGATGGTGCAGATTCCCAGAATTCTACTTTTTCTTGGGGGGGGTGGGAGAGGGAGAAGAAAATAAAGCCCGCATGTTTCTAAATACCTATCAGCTTGACAGTGAGCATGAGCCCACTGTAGAGCTGGAAAAATGTGAGAATGAATTCTCTTGTAGCCCTATTGCTAGGGACACTGGAGACAAAGGGAACCAAAACAGGGAGTGTTTTTATAAAAGATACATTGATGATTTGAAGAATTTTCAGGCATCCAATCATATACATTTTTTTCCACATTATTTGCCTGTGGAAGACTATGACTATGCATTAACTGGAATGCTAGAAGTTAGAGGGAAGAGAAAGTTGAGGGGAATGTGGAACACCAATCAGAATAACTGATGAATTCTAACTGGTTAAGTTAAAGGTGCATGTTGTAAACCTGAAAGGCATTCATAAAACAAATGAAAGAATATATGTAATAAGAAGAGAACAAAACATGAAATAGTTAATATAAAACAGGAAAAGACACAAAAAATAGAAGATAGGAAAAATAGCAAAACAAAACATTTAAAAACAACCACAGAGGTTGTCAGTCTAGTTTAAAAAGGAAAAACAAGCTCTATCTAAAATCTGGAATAGCCTAGATGTCCATCAAGAATACAGAAACAAATTGTTAAAATTCATACAATGGAATACTACATATCAATAACAACTAAACTACGGATACAGTTAACATAGGTAAATTTGAAAATATTATGCTAAGCAAAAGATAAAACACATGCACATGCTGGATGAGTCTGAAAATTTGAAGTGATCAAACAACTACACTGAAAGAAATCAGATTTATAATTTTGTAGGGTGAGGGCTGGGCTAAATAAAACAACATGACAAAACCTTTTAGACTGTACAACAGCTTACTTCAGGATTGGGTGATATATAAACATGGTGTATGCCTTTGACAAACATTACTGAACTGTATACTTACAGTGGGAGAATTCATTATATCTTATGTAACTCATGATTTAATAAAATTTGGAAAGAATGCTGAATTAAATAACTATGCACAGAAATTCCAATTTTGGAAATTATGCCACATAAAATTGTAGTCGTCTGTACACTTGAAAGCAAAAACATACAAAAGAACCCAAAAACTAAAATATCCTAGGGAAAAGATAAAAACAGAGGTGATGGGGGTAATCAGGCTCCTCAACTTCAAATTATATTACAAAATAGTAATCAAACAGCATGGTAGTAGAATAAAGATCCAGCGATCTAAAGTCCAGAAATAAACATGCATATACGGACAAATAATTAATGACAAGGAACCAAGAGCACACAATATAGCAAAGAAAGTATATACAGTATATAAACATGCTCATTTACACTGTCTCTTCAATAAATGTTAACAAAACTAGACATTCACATGAATGAAAACTAGACCACTATTTAACAGAACTAATTCAAAATTGATTACAGACTTGCATATAGACCTAAAACCATATAGTATACAGAAGAAAACATGTGATATGCACCTTGACAGTGTCCTTTAAAACATCTTGAGGATTAAATTCCAAGGCAAACAAAAGCAAAATTAAAAAACAGATAACATGAAACTAAAAAACTTCTGCACAGCTAAAGAAATCATCATCAAAATGAAAAAAAAAACATTCTAAGAGGTAAGTTATTTCCAAATCATACATTTAACAAGGGTTAATATCCAAAATACATAAAGAATTAAAAAAAACTCACAAACAAAACCCAAGCCACCAAATTGAAAAAAAAAAAAAAAGGGCAGAGGATGTGAATAAACAGTTCTCCAAAGAATATATGCAAAGGCCCAACAGGCAAGTGAAAAAAATGTTCACCATCTCTTATTAGGTAAATGCAAGTCAAAACAAAAATGTCTCCTAACCACCAGTGTGAAAGGCTATTATTCAAAAGACAAGAAATGACAGATGTTGGAAAGGATGTGGAAAGAAGGGAAGCCTGAACACGTTGGTGGGAAGGTAAACTGGCGCAGCCATTATAGGAAAAATATGAAGATTCCTTAAAAAAACCCCACGAGAAACAAATTGTGGCCCACTTATCCCATTTTAGGATATTTATCCAAAGAATATGAAAACACTAATGCAAAGATATACACATCCCATGTTTATTGTGGTATTTACAACAGAAGATGTGAGAAAACCAACCTAAGTGTCCACAGCAGGATGAGTGGATAAAAGATGTAGTATATGTGCACACTGCAACACTACTCATCTATTAAAAAACATGCAGTCTTCCTTGTGCAACAACATGAAATGTACCCCGAGAGTTTATATGCTTACTGCAATAAGTCAAAGAAAAATACCATATAATTTCACTGGTGTGGTACATATATAAATAAATAAAAAAAAATAAACTTATATTCTAAGAAAAATTAATGGTTACCAAGAGGGAAAGGGGAAGGAGGGTGGATATAGGAGGGAAAAGGATCAAATTTATGGCAAAGATGAATTTAGACTTCTAGTGAAAAATTGAATGTTATAAAGATGTTGATTTATAATGATTTAAAGCAGAAACCATGTTATAAACCAAATGTTACTTCAATAATTTTTTAAAAATATTCCTCCCTTTTCCAAATTAAATATATATAGTTTAATTTGAAGTTTGTATATTAAAAATTGTAACAATGTGAAGACAAATGAGTAATTAATGTTCTACAAATATATACATACATGTATGTATGTATTCCTAAATATATACATAAAATAAAATAATTACCAATTGAAGCTGAGTATATTTGTTTCATGTGAGTTTCGATGACAGAAGGATCCCGAGAACTGTAACTTCCCAACTCAGGGTAAAAGCTGGAGCCAATGTCGTCTGGGGGCTTATGTTTCCCCTGTGGATAATTCTTGTTTAATCTAGGGTCCCAATGCTTCAAGATTGGATGATTCCAATGTACATATTTACCATCAAATTTTGGATTTCCATACCAGCTATAATAAAATACATGTAAGTAATAATTCGGAGGTGACTGTTCTTCCAGGTAAGGTTCAGAGGCTTTGGAAGGTGTCACAGTGATTTCAACACTTTTTAAATTCTTGGTATTTGTTTCACTGTTGATTTTGTCACTCTTTTGGAAATCCAAATTTTTTCCCAAGTTAGACGTTCGTTTACGAAGATATGGAAGAAGATCAAGTCCCAGAGGATCTCCAAAAGTAGCCGTATTTGGTCTCAGCATTTTTAAACCCATCATCAGAGAGAAAATAAATAGAATAAAAAGTGACAAAATGATGCAAGTCCTTCTTCGAAACTTTACCATGATGACAAACTTTAAACTCCAAAATGGTAAATGGTTAGCTGTAATTTATTGAAAAATGGTAATTAGTAAATCATCTTAACAATATTTCCAATGCATTAAATATGAAAACTAAAATCCATAAAGTTAATTACACTCAAAAATTTTTAATGTGCATTATGGTATGTTATCATTAAACACTGGTGTCTGCAAAAAGACCTGTATATGGCTTGGGTAAATGGAAATTATTTGGAAATATCACAATTACATTTTTTCCTATGAACATTTTAGGAATTTTATTGAAGAAAATGAATAGAGTTTTCAACATCTGGGCAAATTTTGCACATACTGAATATAGAAAGGGAATACATATATATATGTGGAATAAACTTTTCTTAACATAAAAGTAAAGGTTCAAAGTTTTTAAAAAGTACTTAGGCGTATATTAAAAAACTTGTAACTAAATGGATTTTCAATACTTTTTTTAAACTAAAGTAACAATTTTACAAGAAGGAAGTAAGTGTAATCATATTTTAAATGATTTTTGAAATGGAGCAGAATGAGAAAAATGGAGAAAAATGATCTCAAATCATAAGTTTCCAATTTAATAGTATTACTTCGTAATTTAGAAAATCTTACTGAACACAAGTTATAAACATTAACTTATAACTTCTAAAATGATATGGCATGTCTGTTTTAATAAGTATGCATATATGTATAGATATATGTATATATAACTATGTATCCTTATGCACACATACAGATAAAGTCTATTTTTAGGTAGAAATTTCTTGTTAGACAGGTAGTTGGTGAAAAGTTAAAATATATTTACAAAATGTGACTTTCTATGATATATGTTGCTATTTAAGAATTAAGTTAAAATAAACTAATAAAACTTTAATGAGCAAGTTATTTTGTCACATACATACACACAGATACTTTCTACAAATAGCTGCTTCTATTATGTGTACATATGCAAGATACTTGCAAGAAAAACTAAGATGAGAAAGCATATTTCTTTCAAAAGTAAAAATCAAATTCTAAGTTTAGACTATTTGTGAACTATATCATACCAAAAGATTAATACAAAACATTTATAATTTCAAACACAAACATTTGTAAATAAAATTGCCAGTTTAAAAGTCCATCTTCACATCTTGTTCTCTCTGCCAATCACCAAACCTGTCCCTTTTTCCTAAAGGCAACCATTTGACTTTTGTGCGTACCATTCCTTTACTTTTCTTTATAGTTTTTCCAAAACATAACACCTACAATATTAATTTTTTTTCCTATTTTACAATTTTATTTAATGTTATTACTATATATCATAAATATATATATATACATGCTTTGGGTACATATACATGTGTGTACACATACATACATGTGTTAATATATAAAAATGGAAATAATGGCAATATAAAAAGGTGTATGTTTAGAGGTTAGTTAATTTCTTAAGTTCAGGGAGTTTTCAAATGATTGTTTCTATAAAGACATGACTATCTGAAGAAATCAAAGGAAGCTGGTGTTATGGTAGCAGGTTTGATGAAAAGAATGAAATAAATCATATGAGGTTAGAAAAGCGAACATACTGGGTTTTGGTAAGAGTTATTAAGCAATCGTGAGTGTCCATTTGATATTTATGGTCAATGAATTCAAAGGGAAAGGAAAGTAAGGTTGTGTTTAGTAAACATTCTCCAGTTCTGGATTTAGAATCACAATGCTGGCATCATTTGATGTTCTAACAGGCAAGTAGGGAGAATGAACAGATGTAAAAGACTTTGCAAGTGAGGAAACAATATTGGACATGATGAACACATGAATATGTAATATGCATGTCATATATTGATGTATGCATGCCTTATATTATAATACATATACGATTATATAAAATATGTAAAACTCTTGGGAAACAATATTGAGTACAAAATCTTCTGACACTACCTCAGACCTACCTCTTTCGTATCTCTGCATTCTAACACATCAGTTCTTTGTCTTTCCCTTATAAAAAACCATGAAAATGGGCTTATAGCAAATAATTGGTACATGAGGGTTGATGAGGTGAGGAATGGCAGATGGGGATTTTGTTTTATATTAATTCACTAGTGTGATGAAATATTTTTGTAGCAAAGATTCTCCTTCTAAACTCTGAAAATAAGTTACCCAATTAATACTTCCTGTTGGTCCTAAGACTCTAATTTAGGGACTCCCTAAACAGTTTTTATTTTAATACTATTGCATGGATACACTGTTACTACACCAACAAGCTACGTATTAAATGTAATCAATGAATAACATAGGAAACTAAAACAAGCATTATGAAAGAAACACAGTCGACTTTAAGGCAAACAACTGAATACTTGTTTTCTAAGAAACAAAATTTTATTTCATTTGGCTGAAATTAAAAAAAAAATTCTAGAAAACAAAAAGTAAAAGATGTGTGACTCAGTTTCAGTTGAACAATTATATTATGTAAAAAGGAGTATGCCATGGAGCACATGGAATTCATTGATCAGTAAGTCATGATTCTTATGACCAAGGTGTTGAGTCCATGAAAAAGAGAAATATACAGATAACTCAGTGAAGAAATGTTCCAAAAGAGAAATGGAAGACATATAAACAAATGAAACAAACTTTTCAGGGAAAAACAAAACAAAACAGTAAATGGCCACAAGTGTCAGAGGAAACAAAATGTTCTAAGACATCCTGGACATGAAAAGATACAATTATGAAAAAAATGCAGAGAAAACAAGATGGTGAAGTAAAGCTGTAGTGGCATATTAGAAACACACTATCTTACTCTGATAAACAGGGGAGCACTGAAGACTTGTAAACAAAATACTAACATGGAGTTATCTGAAAGTTATTTCCATAAGTCACTCTTGAGTATGGAACTTTGTCCTGAAAATGAGCTCTAGGTACTTAGTTTTTCCAGTGTTCTTTGAAACCATCCTAATCTAATTACTGTAGATAAAAGATTTCAAAGTCTCCCTCCCCTCACTGTAGCTATTATTTTCAAATTGTACTGTGACTCTTCCCAGTTAACATCTTAAGAGATTTTCCACTTTCCAGTTAAGCAAGGTACACCAATGCTTCCCTCTACTTTCTCCAGCACAAACACAAAGATTATACAAATCTTACACTTGTTGGTGAGCTGTCCCTACTCCCTTGCATTTTGGAGTCTATAGAGGTAACTTGCCACCAGTTTTGTGGCAAATGATTGTTTTTACTATTGTAATGTTTTGGAATTTATTTCAGAAGATTCAGTGTACCAGTGCTGCTGCCATCCCCGAATTCTCCTTTACACTTTCCTAAAAATGTAGTAATACAACTTTACCTCTAAGTACATCTTCAGCAATATATACACACCTATATTTTCATGACCATTTAATTCCAAATTCATTCAAATTTCCATGATTTCTTCTTTAATGACTTATTCATAAATGCATTATATTTGGAAGACTTTCTAGTGTGAATCCACACAAAACATCCCCTGTAAATTTCAATCTTTTCAAATACATTGACATTTGCTTTAAGGTTCAACTTACAAACCAACTGTATGTGTTCCACATGTAACTGAAAAGTATGTTCTGCAGATACTGGTTACTGAGTTCTACTCAGGTCAAGCATATCATCACCTTTCTTTGCTTGTGTTAAAAATTCCTCACTATCATATGTCATATCTATAAATGTTTACATTATTTTAATTGCTGTTATTCAACTTAGGAACTCTATTTTCCTGAAGATTAAATCTTGTTTTATAATGAAATGTTTCTTTCCTTTTCTACTAATGGGTTTTGATTTAAATTGTTTAATATTAATATAGCTACAACAGTTTTCACTTGGTTAATATATGCACAGAATATATTTTCATGATTTTATTGTCACATTAAATATAAGAAGTCTTAGTTTTTGTCCAATAACTGTAGTATTCAGCACATTTAGAATTCATGTAATAACAACATGTTATTACAGCTTTAAATCTACTTAGCATTTTTTTAGCCTCCTTATACACTATTTTCTCTTTTAATCTTTATTTCCCCACATTTGTTAATTACAATTATCTTTGCCATTGCTGATCTTAGTAATTATGGCATACATTCTTGTCAACATCTAGTATGAATTAGAGCTTTACTATTTTTCAAACATAAAATGCACACTTTGAAGATATTAATTCCTTTATCCCGTCCCAACTTTTGTGCCTCTATTTTGGGACTATTTTACTTTTTTATATACCTTAAACTTTATAATACTGTTTTGTACATATTTATTCTTTTCTCTTTTCTTACTGTGGTTTTTTTGACAATCACTCTTTTAAATGCTAGCATATTTTTTATTAAATGTCACCATATATGAAAACTTTTAGAGACACTGTGTCTGTACATATTATTTTCCTTAAGAGAAAAGTTTACTGTTGCTTCTTGATGACTTATGAAAGACCATCTCATTAATCTAATCATAAACTGAAATCTTTACAACTGGGTTTGCGTCCTCATGAATATTTTGTCTATTTCTGATTCATTCATACTCCCTTATACCCACAGGTTCTGAAGTCAAAGTCACAGAAATTTCCCTACTCTTTGGGCTCAAAGGTCCAGCATCTCTGAATTCCAATTTTGGTCCCACAGAGCCATAACACTGCAGGAAGTTCTGCTCATTTTCTCAGCTGTCATTTCTAGTAATGTTCCCAGCTTCTTTGTTGCTACTTTTGAATTAGGGATTTTGAATATCTCCCCTACTAATCACCTCAATCTGACCCAAAATAATGCAAATTATAGAGCTCAAAAATCATACATACAAATTATTAAAATAATCCCACCTGAGTTCCCTTATAATCTCATAAGGACAGTTGAAATCATAATTATACCTCAAAATTCAGGTGTAACAAATGGAAAGATTTAAATTAACTACATAAAATTTTAAATATATATCTAAGGACACTATAAACTAACAAAATGAGTAAAAATATTTGCAATATAGAGCTCAATATTAGAAAAAAGCGAATTAAAGGCACACAAAGGTATAATTTCTCATCTCTGAGATAAAAAATAAAAAGTATGAA